CTCTTCCTTTCTTGCTTAATTCAGATAATTGTTGTGACTACTCCATCCCCTTCCTTCTTCCTATTTATCCGTTTCCTAATTTCATTTTTTTTAAATCTGCTTTCATTCACATCATTCCCAAACTGTAAAGGTGCATCTCAGCTCCAAGCGCGGTGATGTGGTGTGGTGTGGTGTAATAGTAGTATTCACTTAATATAAGCCCTATAGAAATTATAAGAGCATTCTTTCCCAAGGCGACCCCATGCAATTTCTTATTGCGAGTGGATTACGTAATCTCACTTTAGACTGCGCATGCGCCACTTCGGACTGATGTTTTTCAGAATAAGGCAGACAGCATTTTTAATGCTAAACATAAAGAAATTCAAAAATAAAACACACGATTTCAGCTGAAATGTTTGAGTAAGATATGTACTGTTCGAAAATTTATGAAGAGACCCTGCGTTTTTGGGGAATAATTTTTCGTCACCAATTTTGGCGAAATTGGTTTTGGTTTGTCAGTTTTTTTTGTTTTCCAATTCTGGTTTGTCGTTCTAAGGTAATTTTTTACACACTTTGGGATAATTAGACCGGGACCTACAGTTTAACGTGGATTCCGAACCACTAGCAAACATCCAAACCACCGTCAAGACTCGAATCTAAAGCCTGTGGTACCAAAAGCCGGAGCGCTAGCCAATTGGCTATCAGGCCGTAAAATCGAAAGAAGAAACGCAACAGTAATGAAGTTTGAGTAAAGAAACTATATTTGACGCTAAATCCCTAAATCGACAACTTAAATCACGATTAACCACCCCCGAAATTAAATTTGATAGTATTATTTAATTTTAAACTTTTCACTATTATTTAATTTCAAACCCTCCTCCTAAAAATGGACGTGATAATCCATGTTCTTTTTTTCTGTTTGGCGATTTTCTAGTTTTCATGCTATTTATTCACTAATTTATGTTTATTTAGATAGGCTTGAACATTTTAATGCTCTAGCAACGACTGCGGCTAAATGCTTTTGGCGTGTGAAACGCGTTTGGCGCTGTTGGCGTTAGCTTTAAAATGGAGCACGCTTTTGGCAATCTTATAAAATGCAGAATGAATTCTTGAAACAGATATTTTCCGATGTTTAATGTCTTGATAATCAAGGAAGTTGAAACTTATGTAAAAATTGAAAAAAAAATAAAATAAAATAAATAAATAAAAAGCTAACATAAGCATGGACCATTAATCTCCTAGACTTTTTATAAGCAAGTTTGGATTTCTCCGTCTGTTTCAGCAAACGGATAGTTATCGATGAACTTTTTCTAATAAATTGCTGAATTTGTTCTATGTAAGAGAACCTGATGAAATGTATGGATATTATTTCTGTATGATTTACCACGTTTTTGCAATTACGTTTTGCAGATAGTAATCTTCATGAATACAAGATAAAGAAGAATTATATCTTAAAAAATGGAGAAGAAAAGATATTGTTCAATAAAAATTGTACAATGATAATATAATCGAAATGTCATGTCAAAACTATCAGACTATTTTAGATCGATAAAAACCAGCCTGTGACTTATTTAAATATGAGAATAATACTCGGAAGTTTCTGCTATGATTTCGTGGCAAGTTAAAATTTCTAGATAAATTGTTCTTTTCAAGGCAAGTAAAAACTGTAATCTTCTTCCTCTAATTGTGTTTAGATAAGTTAACAAATGAAGCATTTTTGTTGCATAAATTCTATAAATTGTAATTATATGCCATTTAAAATCAATTCTATATACCTATATGTAATTTATTTCTGTGGTTTTTTTTATGTTTATTCTTTGCCTATATGTCCTTTTTTTCTAAATTAAAAATCAAATATATTAATCATTATAGGGCACAATTTATTAATTCTAAATCGAGTTACACTTACTATTATTTTGTAAATAAAAAATAATAGGCAAAGGATTAAATGATTAAACTCGATAGTTAGTTATTCTTACAGTATATAACATAATATATGGTTTACTAAATAGATCGAACTTAAGAAAAATGCTTTTATTTTTGCTAATGTTTAATTTAATATATAGAAAGATATATAAATATAATACTGCACTATCTTTCAGTATTATTTTAATTTAACTTAAATACTTGGTTCATTTAATCTAAACTAAAGGACATTTTTTTTTTCCACAATAGTATTTATTGATTCTGTCGTAATAATAATAACTATTTCACAATAATAATTTTTGTGAGAAAATAATTAATGTTCTCATCTTTCTTATTTAACACTGTCAACACAAATTATAGAGAAAAATTAATTTACATAATTTATAAATGCTTATGCCAACGGCCGTACCATGCTGAATATACCGGTTCTCGTTAGATCACCGAAGTTTTTAAGCATCATTGCGCGCGGTCAGAACTTGGGTGGGTGACCACCTGGGGAACACTGCGTGCCGTTGGCAAATTTGGGACCTGAATGGCCGAGTGTCTAGCGCTCTGGCGCTCGGTGCCACAGGTTTCGGGTTCGAATCCCGGCGGTGCCATGGATGTTTGTAGTGGTTCGGAATCCACTTTAAGCCGTTGGTCCCGGTCTTCTATGACTGTAAGAGCGTCACGGAGCAAAAGTCAGGCTTCTACCTACGGGTGCTCCATCACAACAGAAGCTGCTTCCTTCCCCTTCAATCATGAGTCCATATGGGCTCGTGGGCTTGGCCAGCCAAGTGGGATAAGAAACAACAACAACATAAATGCTTATTTTAAAAATCGAATATTAAATAATTACTCATTTCATTTTAAACATGTTCTTTACGAAATAATATAGACCAATATATGAAAATCATCAGATCACAACACAACATATCATATTTTTTTTGCGTTATTTTGTTAAATTTTCTAGTTTTAATATCAATTTATTTCCCTACACATAATATGTTTTAAACAGCATATTAATTGTCAGAATATATCAGTAATTTTAAAACACAAATATGTACAGAATATGGTCAAGAGTTTCATAAATTAGTTAAAAATATAATTTCTTTTTTTAATAACAAGAACGTTAATAATAAAAGGAAGTAGAAAAATCTATGTTAATAAAAAAGGAGTTCTACTTCATAAAACAAGTTAAATGAAATCATACGTATCACAAAAGCCAATTATTGACTCTTAAGTGACTCGGATATCATTTGTATTTCGTTATTTATTCAGTTCCTACTACTAGCTCACACTCTCCCTACACATATATATATATATATATGTTGTTCAAATTTTCAATCGTTCATAAAATACTTTTTATTCATCCACTCAAGTTCAAATACATTTTTTTTGAACTTGTAGTGGAGGACACTGGATGTTAATACAGTTTTTTCAAATATTAATTCAGTAATTAAATTAAATTAATTAATTTTAGTTTTATATGGGAGAAAAAAAATTTCTCTTACATAAGATATTTAGCAGGATATAAATTTAGGAATAAATAGCGTCAGCGGCGAAGCGTGCAGATCGCTGGAAAAAAATTTCTTTTTCAGATTCTTTTTGCATTCTGGGTTCTAGTCTGAGTCAAAGAGGGAACAAAATGGAAAATGAAACATGTGAATAAATTAGTGAGAGAGATGGAAAGTGTATATGTGTGAGAGAGAGAGAGAATTTTTACTAACTTAAAAAAAATGAATGAAAATTATTTATAAAGGTCTTTCTGCAATATAGTGGAAAAAAAGTAGGAATTGATTTAAAATTTATTTTTATATTACTTGTTTTTTAGTTAAAATAATTCAAAATAAAAAAATTCATTAGTAAACTATTTACTACAAGTTTCTTTTTCAATGGATTAATCCTATAGTTATTCAGAGTACCTTGGCCACTCTGGGCTTAAAACTGATATCTTGGCAGACTGGCGATAAATTAAAAATGATAAGTAGTTCTAAACAGAAAGCAAAGGATGATCAATAATTTCAGTAAAATAATACAGTAAATCAGATGATAAATGGCCAAAAATAAGAAGAAAAAAAAATGAAAATGAGAAATAAAAAAAATAAAAGATAAAATATACCAAAAAGAATGGAGTAACAGTCGCAAAATAGCAATGATTGCTCAGGAATGATGAAAAAAAGTTAAGATAAAATATTTAACACAGACCTAGGGCATTCAGAATCAGAAGGAAATAGTGTGATAATAAAAGGGGAGGTTTTGAATTTCTAAATTAGAAATGTTGTCAATTTTAGTAAAGAAATTGATTTAGTTTTTAAGAATAAACATCTTGACACTGGGACGGTTAAGGGAATTGCGAATGTCATCCTTTCTAAGAAACCCTCGAGCATCAATGATCAATCGCAGAATTTTATTTTCTAAAACTTGAATATTATTATTACTAGAATTAGCAGATGAGCAACAAAGCATATTTGATAATAGGAAGCATGTAGGGCTTGTAGAAAAAAAAGTTTATTTTCAATAGAGAGGGAGAAATCGCGTTTAACGAGAGGGTTACAACAAGTAAATGCAAGAGTCAAAATTTTCCTTGATATGATTGATATGGGATTTGAAAGTAAGAGTTTCAGAGTATCAAATACAATACTAGAGTTGTATAAAAAAAAAGAGTATCAATACAATACTAGAATAGTTAAAAAAAAAGAGTAAGAGTATTAGGTACAAAATAAAGTATTTAGCTTGATCAAGTGATTATAAGTAGCAATGCGCGCTAAAGATAATTAAGTTTTCTAGTAAAGAGTACAGCTTTCGTTTTACCATAATTGAGAATAATTTTCCACCTGATAAGCCAAGCTTCAAGGTTAGCAATGTTATATTGAAGAGTTTTAGCAAAAAGCTGTATGTTAGTAGACTAAACATCAATAGCGGTATCATCAGCATAGAGGCATAGATGGACATTGTTGACCTGTAGAATGTCATTGTTATAGATAATGAAAAGAGTGGGTGCAGTGAGTGAATTTTGCGAAACATAAGCATTAATGATTGTAAAGGTGGAAAATACAGTTTGAATTTTGACGATGATGTTCCTTTTGGAAATATAAGATAAAAGAAGGCGAAAAAGATATCTAGAAAGTTTGTGGGAAATTAATTTATGAATTAGCGTTTTGATCAAAGTCGAGGAAAATGACTCCAGTAATAGATTCAGATAGATTGATTCAATTCAGTGTTTCTTAGAAGCAGGTGAGTTGTTGACACATTGGGCGTAAACCAAAGTGTTTCAGTATCAACAAATGAGAGCTATTTATATGCGAATTAATTTTGTTAATAATGACAGATTCAACAGTTTTGTTAAGATTGAAAATAAGAGAGAATATCTGATAATTCATGGGATTAGAAGATTCTTTGCCTGGTTTGGGAATGTGCAGGATAATTGCAGTCTTCCAAGGTTGGGAGTAATAGGACAGCAAAATAATAGCTACAATGAGTCTAGCAATGCGAAGAATTATTTTGAAGGGAAAAGTTTGAGAATTTTATTACGATATTATCAATACCAGGCGCTTTTTTAAATTTGAAGCTTATTAATGTAATTATAGATTATGGAAGCACGTTCATGGGAAGACTTAGCTTTATAAGAAGTTTGAGATAATTTAGTGATAAAAGATTGCACAATCGCAGTAGTAAGATGATGCAAAAAGTTGTTAGGCTTAAATAATCCAAAAAGTTAAATTTAGAAGTGGAAGTGCGAGCATTATAGATAATTTCAGTAATTAAAAAAAATAGTTGTCTGATAATACAATAATTACAATAAGCTCAGCTGTCTGATTATCAGCGATATCAGAAGTGGAGGCAGAATACAGATATTTGAGAATAAAGACTTTGGATGCTTAACGTTTAAATTTATTAGTTTCTTTCCAGATTGAACGTTCCTCCAATATATGATTCTGTAATTTTTCATTCTGAGAGTTTTGGATGAAGTTAGGAATGCCACGCCTGATCATCATTTAAACTTTATTATAATCAGATTTAGAGAGAGGATCGTGAAAGAATTGCCATAACTTACGAGCGCGATTGAGATTAGAGATGAGAGTTTTGATATGAGGAAGGATAAAATGAATATCTTTAAGAATTTTAGGAGAGGAAGTGTGAGCATTATAGATAATTTCAATAATTAAAAAAATTTCATTATCAATATGAGAGGTAGAATAGAGAGAAAGACGTTAAGCAGGAGAATAATTAAGAATATTAAAAAATTTATTCCAGTTACTGGAGTAGGAGCTAGTGAAATCAAAAAGATAGTAGTAAATTTTGAAATTAAGAATGTCGGTATTATGATCCGAGGACATCTCTATGATAGAATCTATAGTGGAAAAGTTGTGGATTTGTTTAAAGCAGTAAGTCAATGAGCAGAGTTAATGATAATTCGATTTGGAGTAGGAGGAGCAATGATTTCAATTCCAGAATGATTAGCTAAATTACGAAGAAAGATACCAGAAGCATTGTTATTTTTACAGCACCAGTAAACATATCAAACATTAAAGTATCCGTAGAGAATGGAATCAGAATTTAAACTAAGGAGAGGGGAAAAACCATTGTTGAAATGATTCTTAATGATGTCGATCGGAAGGTCAATAGAAGCAATAGTGAGAACAGGAATATTATCAATCGTAAGAACTGACTCGAATAGTTCGCAAGAAGGGAGAGTTGTTAATTTCAACGTGAGAAATGGATTACTTGATAAAAATACCAGTTCCATAGCGAGCCAACGGAGATTGAGGATAATCATCAGGACAAAAATATAATTTGGAATAACCTTGTTAATACTAAGAGCAAAATGAATTAGTTATATTATAGTTGTTAGTAAAATTGATGAACTCAAAATGTTTAGATATGACATCACAAGAATTCCAACAGCAGATTTAAGCTAAATCAAAATAGCTTAATCATTAAAAATTTGGTTTCATAACAATAAAATGAAAGAATAATTTGTATGTCAGAAATGATTAATTTTATTCAACGATTTACTATGTAATGTAATTTACAAAATAAAGACGTGATTTATAAAGTATATATCACGATTTATTTATTAAAAAAAAAACTGAATTAAAAAATACGATGTAACGATAAAAATTATGTAAAAGGAGCTTGCTGTATTTATACAAAATGTAAAGAACTAATATGCTCTATACTTAGTAAAATTTTCATTAATCATTTGCCATTAATAACACTCAATGGGAGGATTCTTTAATATTTTTTTTCTAATTTATTCTAATAAGTTAACAACCTGCTGCCGATATAAAATGAATAAAACATAATCAAATAATAAATAATAAATAATTGGTTAAAAGATTTCAAAATTTTCCTCTGTAAACAGATTTAACCAGAAAAACCAGAACTTTGAATGACCGCACTTCACATAAATAAGTCAATAAGAGAGTTCATTTGTAAGCAGATGCACTCAAAGACGTCCAAGGTCAGTTTCATATAGTTGTTTAATACAGTGAAGGCCGAGTTGAAACAGTTCTCTACCCGGAGTGTTAT